AACATCAGTTCTGTTATTTTCTTTTTGATTGTGGGACTTCTCTCTCACAGATCTGAACAGCACTCTTATTGGCAACAAGGTCGATTGAAGATGAACAATCAAAATACTTTTTGCCATCAAAGCCTCGCAGGCTTCATATTTCTTCTAGATATTTGCTTGCCTGGTCTGCCTACTTGATTCTTTTTTTTTTTTTTTAAATTTGAGAAAGGTAAGCAATGAATCCTCAGGTACCAGAATTATCAGCACTGAATAAAGTCTTGAAGAGGACTGAACAATCTAATGTGAAGCCAAGGAGAGCTTAGCCTGTCTTGAGTAAGAGCAGTGGTATCACTGTACTTGCAACATATTATTTGGCACTTCTATGTATATGTTTTTATACATAAAACTAAAATATGTACACACATATACATGTAATCCTGAATCACAACACATTTCAGCAACTAACTGATGGACTTCCATCCAAGAACATCAACAGGAAAAAAAAAAATCATAGAATGGTTAGGGTGGGAAGGGACCTCAAAGATCATCTAGTTCCAACCCCCCTGCCATGGGCAGGGAAATCCTCCACTACACCAGGTTGCCCAAAGCCTCATCCAACCTGGCCTTGAACACCTCCAGGGATGGGGCATCCACAACTTCTCTGGGCAACCTGTTCCAGTACCTCACCACCCTCAATGTAAAGAATTTCTTTCTTATATCTAACCTAAATCTCCCCTCTTTCAGTTTAAAGCCATTGCCCCTTGTCCTATCACTACACACCCTTGTAAAAAGTCCCTCTCTAGCTTTTCTGTAGGCCCCCTTTAGGTACTGGAAAGCTGCTATAAGATCACCCCGGAGCCTTCTTTTCTCCAGGCTGAACAGCCCCAACTCGCTCAGCCTGTCTTCATAGCAGAGGTGCTCCAGCCCTCTGATCATCTTCATGGCCCTTCTCTGGACTTGTTCCAGTAGCTCCATGTCCTTCTTGTGTTGGGGACTCCAGAGCTGAATGCAGTATTCCAGGTGGGGTGTCACGAGAGCAGAGTAGAGGGGCAGAATCACTTCCCTTGACCTGCTGGCCACACTCCTTTTGATACAGCCCAGGATACGGTTGGCTTTCTGGGCTGCCAGCGCACGTTGCCAGCTCATGTTGAGCTTCTCATCCACCAGCACTCCCAAGTCCTTTTCCTCAGGGCTGCTCTCAATCCATTCTCCGCCCAGCCTGTACTTGTGCATGGGATTGCCCTGACCCACGTGCAGGACCTTGCACTTGGCCTTGTTGAACTTCATGAGGTTCTCACAGGCCCATCTCTCCAGCCTGTCAAGGTCCCTCTGGATGGCATCCCTTCCCTCCAGCGTGTCCACAACACCACACAACTTGTAATTGTAAAAAAAAAACAAACTTGTAATTTTAGTCCTTATACAACTGGTAACACACCAAGAGAACATCCTGTCCTTTAAGACACATGAGAATTTCATCATAGATTACAAAATGGTCAGAATTGCACGCAGGAATTGGACTAAAATTGCTTCCTCCTTATCTCCCCTCACCCCCAAAAAAGCAAAGACTAAGTAATACCTGAAAAATCTTGATGCAGTAACTAATACAAAACAAAATTAAACAGAACGAAAAGAGTGATGCTTTGTTTGCCTTACTCTCCCTTTCCTTCTGTAGGGAGATAAGTGTCATAAGGAAAGCTTTCTGAAGAAAACATGCAAAAATCAATTACTCATCCTGGGGCAAGCAACTGCCAAGTAACTATCTTGAAATTTAAGGCTACTACTACTGCATGCTATTAAATGACTTTTTCCTACTTAAATAAGAAGCAAGACGTTTAAGCATTTTGATCCAAAATTTGAAACACACACTTAAGATCAGCCCTGTTGCTGATATGATTCCAAAGGGAAAGGGATATTAGTTTGCCCCTTGACAATACTCGGAAAAACAACCAAACAAAAAGCCAACGGCAGATAGCTTATTTTCCTTTCTACTCTCCCGACTTTTGTTCCTCTGGTACCTTGAGCAATCCAACAAAGGATACATTCCTAATGAATGAGATATACAAAACTTGAGAGAGCTCAAAGCATTGTGTGTGCATTAACGATCATAACAATAAAAACCATAATGGAGTATTGTACCAATAGCCACAACTGGCAAAATAATACGATGGGAAATTGTAGCGTCTATGCCTTATCAGCAGAGGAGCGGCAGTCTGTGCTATTCAATCCATGCACAGCTCTGCCAAAGAGCAAAAGGAAACAGTGTCCCTATTCTGTCTTTCTGAATAGCAATGTTGTGTTACTGTGTAAGTGTCAGGAAGAGACAATCCCTCACGAAATCTTTGCCACGGCACTTCTATGGTTATAAGGAGTGAAGACTTGCAGACAGAAATATAGGATTGAGAAATCCGCACGTTGGTCTAAATTCTGCCTACTTACCTGTAGCACTGCACTTGAAAGATCTCTTCGTAATAAATACTCACGCTGTCTCAGCTTGCTGTGATTTAGACAGAAGAGCTAGAGCTAAGAGCAAGAGCTACAACAAAAATAGTTCTCACTCGTAACAGACATCCCTTTTTCTTTTTTGCTCATATCACTGTAGAGGCCATCAGTTACCTCAGATCATTTACATAAAAGCAAGAAGTCAGAACAAAATCATATATTGGTCCATCAAGACCAAAATAGAGACGGTCAGGTATTTCTCCAATTGTATTTCTGCTTATCCTAGTATAATATACTGGATCTACTGTATGTAGACTCCATCCAAAGTCTTGAGTCAAAAGGATTTTTTTTTTTCCTGTTAGTTTTCAATAACTTTAATTTGGCTATTTTCAAAACACAGTTCATATTGAGGACTGCAATAATGATTTCACGGAACACGAATTTTCTGGAAATGATCACTGGAGGAACACCAGTCAAGGAATCAGTGCATAACTGTCACACTCTTCCTTAACCATTGCCAATGGGCTCAACAGTCTTGCCTGACTCATTACAGGAGTATTTTCTTAAGCAATTTATTAATCTGCAGGCTGTCCACAAGGTAGAGATAGAGGCTTTGGGTTTCATTCATGCTGAATTCTTGGGCTGTAACAGGTTTATAGCTATTGCCTCTGGCAATTATTGGGATTGATTTTTGTTTCTTTCCCCACCACCATCAATGAAAGAAAGGGTAATATTCTTTCCTCTTAATTCATGGAAAAACTTTAGGGTAAATAATTTTTTCAGGGCACTCAAATGTCACTGTAGTGAAGCTCATAGAAATGGCAGACGAGAGGCAGAGAAGGTATGCTGATTTGCTTAAACAGGACAAAGCTGAATGAACTATTCAAGACAATCAAACACAAGTAGTAAAAATGGACTAGAGATTCCACCTGAATAGAGTTCGACATAAGAACCCAGAGTCACCACAGTAAGTTATGCCAGGTTCTAAGAACAGGTTATCAGCAAAGGTTCCATCTTTAATATCTGTTAACAGGTTACATCTTTCAAAACAGCGGTAAGAGTCAGTAACAGTATTCTACCAAGATGAAACGGAGGACTAGTGATGGCAGCAGAAGTCAGAAGGAAAAAGGTGGAGAGGAAAAGATATATCTGGTAACTTAACCTTTCTGCAGCCACTTAAATGTTACTGAAAAGTGAAATTAAAATATTCTCCACATCCAGGCAACAGGGAGAGGCACAGAAAACTCAGCTGTAAATACTAGAGCTATCCGTTGTGCAGGAGAGACCAGTTTTCATGAAGCCTGTTAGTCTGTTTTCCAGGAAGCTTTTACCTACTTTTGCAGGCTTCAAACACTTCTTTCAAAGCGCATAACAAAGCAATACTTATTTTTTTAATTGGACAGGCACAGTGTTAGCACCACACTGTACCTGTTTACCTGCTTGTGTACTAACCTTCTCTTTTCCCATGGAACATCAACATTTAAGCTGGTTGTGACAACGTGGAATTTTTAGAATATTTCACATATTAGAAACTGAGCTGTTTGCATTGCTTCTTTTTTGCTGTTTTCACTAAGCAATAAAAAGGAGCTGTTTGTTGTTGGCAACCTCCTATAGCTTCTCAATAACCACCAGAAAATAATTCTATTCTAAAACTGGTAATATTTCCATGAAGAAAAATAAAAGATAGAGAAGACTACTTAAGAAAATCCTTGCTGTTTGCCATTAAAAAAAAACTCAAACCGAACTTCATTGAAAAGGACTTTCAAATTAAAAATAACCTGATCTTGTTTCTGAACCTAGTATTTCTAAAGAGTTTGCGACATGGTGTTAAAGTCTTTGAGCATGTACCCCAGAAGTTATATTCTTACTGATGTTACTGTAATTTTTCC